TTTCTTTCTTTCCCGCTTTCTTCTCTTCTTTTTCCTGCTTTCCCTTTCCCTCCTTCTTCCCTTCTCTCTCTTTCTTTCCCTCCTTCTCTCCTTCTGTTTCTCTCCCTCTTTCCTTACTTCTTTCCTTCTCTCTACTCTCTCTCTTTCCTTCCCTCTTTCCTCCTCCTGTGGCCCAACTCTAGTGAGAAGGGGTTTAAAGTTTAAACCCCTTCTCTCTTCACTCCCCCCCCCCAGCTGGGGAAGGGGAGGGGAGGCTTTTGAAGATGCCTCCCCCCCCTTTTGCTTCCCCTTCTGACATTACTTCTGGTGATGCCAGGGGGCATGGCATATGCTAATAGCCCAGTAGCTCATTAGCATACCATATGCTAAAGAGCTCCTGCAGCTCTTTTTCTACGAAATGACCCCTGGATATAAGAACATAAGAGAAGCCAATGTTGGATCAGGCCAATGGCCCATCCAGTCCAACACCGTCACATAGTGGCCAAAAATACCAGGTGCCATCAGGAGGTCCATCAGTGTGAGAAAGTACGCCTGTGTATCCCATTCAAGGTTCTTCGCTAAGCCCACATAACGTGAAGCTGCTGCTTTACCCACACTATAATCCATGCTAGCCAGAGTACAAACCCAACACAGGGAGCAAATCTAAGCAGGTCTACTCAGAAGTAAGTCCCATTTTATTCGACAGGGCTTCTTCTTCTTTCACTTGTGGACACATAACCCACTAGAGAGACAGTCACAACTTATTTTAGGGTCTTGACCCATAGTTCGAGAACTACTTAAGTCAATAAAACACTCTGAAACAGATGACAGCTTCACTGGTATATATGACAGGATATATAGATACAGATTCTCAAAGTAATAGCTTGTTTGTGATAGGCTAGCCTTTACTATGTTAGCTAAATACTTATTTCATGCAAATGTCCATGAGTTGATGAAAGAATGAAAGGGCTTGCTAAAAAAAGGCATTACTGACCTGCTTAGGGGTCACGACAGGTGCTAAATGTGCCTGGAAAGTGCTCCTTCGGTCTGTAATAGGGTTTCCATGATCGATCGGAGGTAACTCTTCATCTGCAAATTTAGAATGCAAGAATTCTGACTTGCAGCACTGATGGACTATACTGACCTCACCCCTTCAACCGATTCAGAATGCCCCAGTTAAATCCACATTGCCTCTCTCCTCATAACTATGATCATGGATCTCATTTTTGCCTTTAAGAGAAGGGAAGAGAAATCCTGAAATCAGTGGACCCCTGGAAACTGTATGAGGAGTGACGTGGAGATCTGCAGTAGAAGAGGGGAATGGTTTGATATTGCCTCCCCTTCCAGGTAGCAGGCAGTACCTTTTCCAAGCAAAAAAATGTGTTGGAATATTCAGCAGAATAATGAAGGCAGCCAGACGTGTGTATTTGTTTGAGGAAGAAGCTTTACTATATAAAAGTAGGACAACGGTTACATTTGGGAGGAAAATAACAGACATCTGACTAGTTCTCAGGTCCATGTTGACTGTTCAGATGCTACACCTCATGTGTAGGAGAACAAAGGACGATAAAGTTTCCTAAGGGGGCCCCCCCATTTCCTGTTTATGCAACTAAAAGCAAATAGCACCCCAATAAAGTTGGTCAGCCAATAGACATTCTACAACTCACTTCATTAAGAATATTATCACCTTTTCTCTGGGGGAACTTCGTGCCTAAGATCTAATTCGTCTTAAGCTAAATAGCTAACATTAGCGTGCATACGTAAACACGTTAATTCTTTCATGACTGAAGAATGAACTTGAATACTCCAACAGAATGATTAAGAGCCAAGGTAAAATCTTTTGAGCATAACACACATCAAAACAAAATATTCATCAGGCTCAGCAGCTTGCAGAACTGTAATTAATAAATAGTAATGTATAGCTTTTTAAAAACGCTTTCTCCCTCTGATACAGTTTGCAGATTGGTGCTGCCACTTATTTCTGTCAGGCTGAACCCTTTCCCATATCCCATTTCCCTAGTCTAAACTGGTCCTTCCTCCTCTTAAAAAATACATAATTTTCCAGGGAGTTGAGGGGGGGGGGGTTGAGTTGGGAAGCAGCACAGAGGGGGAGAGGGTTCAATTCCCTCTTTCATTAGTGTTGCCCTGATTCAAACCTCCCCTTTCCTGCCACAGCTATTTCTAAGAAAATATAAAACCAGGGAGACGCTGCATTGAATGTTGTTGTCTGATGGGGTAGGGAAGAACTGGGCTGCAGTGAAAGTTCAGGGAAATTAGGGTAGCTTAAAACATTCTTTAGGACCCAGTTCTTTAATACAGGAGAGTTGATGAATAGCAAGTGGAAGGTTTTTCTGGTCTGGAGGCTGGTTTGGCAAACTGTAAGGTGGAGAAGACAAAGGGGAAAGATTCCAAATCAGGATGTTATGCTGAATGGAGAGAACAAGCATCGGTGTTACAGTATACATGGCAGATATGTGCCCAGCACACTTAATGCCACGTGAATTATTAATACTGGGCAGTGATATAGTTAGAAGAAAAACTTAAGAAGCGGATGTGGAGATCAACGAGATATCAGCTACAAAATATATACAACAGTACATATTGTATAAGCACTCTGAACAAGGATTATTTTATGATCCGCATTGCAACATACTTATGGCCTCTAACAGGCTCAATTCTAAGAGGACAAAGGGGGGTGAGAATTTTTCCATATTCTTAACAATATATTTGATTCACTAGATCTGCATCAATATTTCAATACAATCATTAGTACCAGTGATAGGCAAACTAGCAAAACTAACACCATTTTCCTGTAATTGTGTGTTATTTCAGCAAGCTAAGCTAATTTTGGCAACTGCGCAAAACAGGATGTAGCAAAGTGGGAAGGACTCCAAGGTGTCCAGAATGTAGCTAATTAAGCAGAACTGTTGTTTGAAGATACGGAAACTGTTTTGCGAGGCTTACAGAAAACCATAAGTATTCCAAATAAAAGCAAAAGACAGAAAGGCTTACCAAGTGTACTTATCTCTCCTTATAATAATTGTGTTTTGGGGTGGCCCTTAGGCGCCGGCGGCACCCGGTTGGCGGGGAGAGAAGGGGATGGCTGCGCCGTGCTTCCCTGTGCCGCCGCGCCCTGGCTCAGGGATGCTGTGGGCACTTCTGATGGGGGGGGTGCTCTGCTGGGGTTCCCGGTGCTGCCCCCGGCCTCACTGCCCTGGCAACGTGCCCTGCCTCACCTCGGCATGGGGGGAGGCCACGCCACGCTTCCCGGGGCCGCCACAGCCTGGCCTGGGAACGCCGCAGGCATTTCTTCGAGGAGGCTGTTCGGCCTCCACCAGCCTTCCCTCCGCTGCTCTGCCAGTGCGCCCTGGCTGCGGGGGGGGGGAGCGAGCTGCTGAAGTGCTGGCTTGTTCAACCTCCCTGCGCACCAGCTGGCAGACGGACCCTGCCCGTCTTTGCGGGAGGGGGACTCACACCACCAGGGAAGGTGCCGCACCCATCCACCCATCCATTCCTGCCTGCAACGGGCCTTCCTCTTAGTATAGGTATAAAGGAAATATCATTCTGTAATCTGAAGACATCTGTACATCTGAAAGTTGTTTATCACACTGTATAAAAGATTACTGCTGATGCCTTACTAACAGATCCCTTGGATTATGCTACTGAGGTTCCCTTTATTCGAATAAAGTTCTGGCTGCTTCAAAAATCTTACTGGTTGTGTTGATTATTGGGCATTAGCACACCAGGCAACAGGTCCGTTTGGCTAATAAATTCTGGAACTCCACCTGGTCACCTGAGAGGCGTGAGGGCCTCGACTGATGACGTGCCTTTCTTTGCTGGCATCGCATTGTTTGGGCCCTAGATTGGCATCCTGCAGCCCAGGACCTTGTAGATACTTTGGTCTGTAAGGTGCGACGCCTTTAAAATTTTGGAAAGGCAGACTGAAGATTTGAAGGTGCCTTAAGAACAAGTAATGGACCCCCGTCCAACTTTCTTTTCTAGGCACTGAAGAAGATAGAATAATACAAAAGACTGAGTGAATAAGAATGAAATGTCAGTAGAAAGTAAGAAGGTATTGAATATTAAAAGATGTATAAAGGATAGAATATGACTTAGAGGAAGTTGCATGGTGGTATTATAAGCGGGTAGTATAAGGAAATAAGAAAAATAAGAGGATACAAATCAGATTGGGATTAAGTTACAAACAGACGGAATGTAACCGCAATGGTTTCTTTTTTGTTTTAGTTTGAAAAGAAGTATAATATATAAAGAATGAATTATTTGCATGAAATATGCAATGCATACTCAATAAAAATATTAATACAAAAAAAAAGAACAAGCAGTTGGATTTAGTTTTTGTTGGTCTTTGAGTCTCCCGTTTTGGTTTTGGGTTGGTTGGGATAACTCCAGAAGTAAATTGCACATAGATCTCCATAAGGAGAAAGACTTCATGTTCCGGCACCCAACAATGGAAGCTAAGCAGAGTAAATCCGGATTACCTTTAAGACCTCTCCAGTGTCTGGTTATGAATTGGGGAATTATAACTGATTATTCTCCAGATTATCCTGAATCCTGTTTGAGTCACTACTGTGTTTTAGATTGGCCTTTTTATTCCCTCAGTAACGATCCATGGCCAGCTGAGGGAACATACAAGTTGAATATTGCACGCGATTTGTATAATTTCTGTAAAAGGGAAGGAAAGAATAATGAAGTGGATTATATTAATTTCTAGATATATGCTATTACTCATGCAGACTTATTAAAGGATTGTGGAAACTGTAATAAGCAAAAGCAGATAATGGTGCAAAAGAATATAAAATGTATGAGGAACACTAAGCCCCCACTGCCAATCCAAAGGTTAAGGTATTAGAATCCATGGATGATGCTGATCCAGTGGGTGGGATTCAGGGAAGATCGAACCCTAGATTAGATGACTGTGGGGTGGGAGTCTGGCAGCTTCGCCTCCTCCTCCTCCTCCTCCCTATTCAGGCCAAACCTCAGCGTCTAGTGGTGGGCCAGAATTAACTAGCACCCCAAAGACCCCCTGAGGCCTTGTTCTATAGACTGCATCAACACTGAAACATGACAGAATACCAGCAGTAGTTGCTTTACCTTCTTCACTTTCAGGAAGATCAAAATCCAGAGTTTCGACTGCATATGGCTGGAATGGCTGACAATCCAATGAAAAGTCTTCTTCATGCTCCATAATCGTTTCTTCTGTGATTTTTTTAATATTTGGTCCTGCTGACATAAGAATTTATACCCCTTTCACTGGCTCTCTTTCAGAGTTCTGGCAAATTAAATGGTTACAATCGTGGGGTGGGACAGTGACCAATAGCGGCTCTCTAAAATATTACACAGACACAAACCTGGGTGTGCCCCTGAACACTCGAGAAAAAGCCAAAAGCCTAAGACCTGGGAAGTGGTTCTAGCTCCATGGTAAAGAACACGGATTGCACGTAGAAGTGCACAGATTTAATTTTTCTGATGTACACCGCCCTGAGCCCCGTCCTACAGGGGAGGGTGGTCAAAAAACCAAAATAAAGACATAAATGATCCCAGTCATCGCCAGGTGTAGGGGTGTGTGTGTAAAGTGCTGTCAAGTCACAGCCGACATTCAGAGGTGGTTTGCCATAGCCTGCCCCTGTGTAGCAACCCTGGACTTCCTTGGAGGCTGACCCTACTTAGCCACCCAGATCTGATGAGACTGGTCTCGCCTGGGCCATCCAGATACAAAGGATTTATGCACTATGCACAACCCAGGAGAGATGCACCAGTGAGAGAACACAACAACAGTGAACTACACTGGCCAGTTATCCAGCTCCATATGCAGCAGCTTCAGATTTGGCTGTGAGGAAATGAATGTACAGTTCAGTTTCAATCACTCTGAATGACTACTTATGACAAAAAGATTACACACAACTAACACTTCTGTAATGAACGTATGTCTTAAAAATAAAAATCTGCATTCAGACAATGGAAAATGAAAAAAATGAAATGTGTCAATTTCCTCATAGTGGTTCAGGCAGTGGGGCAATACTCTGTGGCTGAGTGATGCAAGCAGGTTTGGCACTTTTCCTGTAGAACCACAGTGGCCCTTTCGTTGCAGTTTGCCCACTTTGAGGAAGCTCTGCTTATGTTCAGACATAAGCTGATCCCTTGCCAGTTGTGATGCCATTAGGTCTTAAATACAGAAGGAGGGAATGGACTATGCAGGCATGGCTTATTCCAATTAAATGTCAGATAAGGCCAGGTGCTGTGCTTTGTGATGGACACCAGGAATATGGACTGCCTATGTACCCAGTAATTGCTAAACAAACAGTTGCAAATATATATATTTCAAAAGACCAAATTTAAATCCCAACCTAATAGTAAACCTATTGTACCAATTCCTAACTATAAACATTATGAGTTTTGAAGCGTCATTAAACGTGAGGCCTTTCAGCAAGAAACTTACATATGAACAACTATACTATTCATTTTGGGGTCAATATGACAAACTGAAATTTGTGTGGTCTCATTCTTGTACCATTTTATGATGAGACAGTATCTAATTCAGTAAGATCATGTCCCAGTATCACAGTAAACTCATGATATGCAGCACTAAAAGGTTGTGGCTGTGTACTTTTGCATTGTTGCTTTGAACTCTGGCATTAAAGGAACTCTTTAAAACCTTCCTTGTTGCTCCTGTTGTATTGAAGTTCTCTCTCTTTCCTGTTCACCCAAAAGGAGAAACGTTGAATGCTCTTTAAAACATACTGAAAATACCTCCCAGTTTTCTATTTGTTTACTTCATTTATATCCCACTTTTCTCCCCAGTAGGGCCCCAAAGCAGCTTACGTTATTCTCCTCCATTTTATCTTCCTAACAACCTTGTGAGGTAGGGTAAGCTGACTGCAAGTGACTGGCCCAAGGTCAATCAACAAGCATCCATGGCAGAGTGGGGATCTGAACCTTGGTCTCTGAGATGCTAGTCTGAAACTCTAACCACTACACCACATTGGTGTATGTAATCATGCAGTATCTATATATCTAATAGCGAAAGGGGCCCCCTGTGTGTGGATACCTAAATCCGCGCATTGGGGGCACCTGGGGGGAGGGAGATATTTGTGCACACTTGGGGTAGTCCCCAGGTGTGCACAAAAATCTAAAAACACGGAAAAAATACCGGGGGATACTTAAATCCCCCCAAAAGTGACAGCGCGTCCCCTGCGCATGCGCAGGGAATGCTCTGCGAATTCCCTAGGAGGGAAGGGGGGGAGATCAAGCGGGGGGGGTGGAGGAGACGGGGGAAGAACCGGCGGGATGGGGGGGAATTTACCTCCTCCTGCTGCTTCCTCCTCTGCCTCATGTGTGGAGGTCCCCCCCCGCGAGTATCGCGGGTCCTGCCCCTTGTCTAAAATATTACAGAACTGGTGCCAGGGATGGTGTCTTTGGGCAACTGCCAGGGCCTAAAGTGAGCTCAGCACCAAACAAGCTGGGCATGCACCTAATCCCTTCCTATACAACAGCTATCCAATGGGAGGGAGAAAGAGAAGAGGCCAAGTGTCGTCACTTAGGATTAGGATTCCCCAAAGGGACTGGGTTCCCTTCTCTGCCTGGGTGTGTCTGTGTGAGCTGTTCCTCTGCCAGACAGCAATAATGCAAACTAGGACGAGCAGCAGCCCTCCTTGGAGCTCACTTCAGTTGCCCACTCATCTGCCTTGGGAACAGGCCATCACAATTGGAGCATCTGAAGTCGAGAAGAGGCTGGATAGGCTTGGGGGTGGGTGGTGCGGAGACGGCAGGAGGGATGCTAGGACGATGCTTGATCCATGCCATGTCTAATGAATGCCCACCTCTTCCTTAGCTAAGAATCATCACAGCGGGAGTGGGGATCATTTCAAGGGGAATGAAGTTCCTGCTCTCTGTCTGCTCCCACCCTTCTGGAGGGGGAATGGGGCCCTTTCTCTGGCTCTTCTTTTTCATTATTATTTTTGTGACATCATGCCCCCCCCAGTGCTCCCCTCACCGAAAACCTTCTAGCTACAGGGCTGGGGGAAGCCTGCCAAGCGCCATCTTAATCCGTGCACCAAAACCTGGAAGCAACCCTAGCACATTACCTGGAGCAGATGACTGAGATTTTTCTATCAAAATCTCCCGTATCTTCTCCACCCACAGATATAGGATACTTTCACCAAGATTCTGTCTGGAAATCAGGAAGGGGGGGGGAGTATATTATGAAAATGCTACTAAATTGTTTTAGGCATCTATTTAAACAAATATGCAAAAAGAAATCACTTTGCATCTAGAAAAATGTGGTGTTATGTGTTTTCTTCTTCCCATCAGGTGTGAGATCTACAGAATTTTTAACACACCTTGGACAGAAGCCAAAGAATCACACTGCTTGTTCGGACCTCCAAGCCTTCTCAGCACAGAGGCAAACAGCTTTTGAAACAGAGAGGCTTTCAAAAACAGTTTATCATACAGCATGAAGATCTGATGCTGACATCCCAAAGAATTCCGAGAACTATATTCACACCCTCAAGTATGTCTTGGTAGTGCTCTGAATCCTAACTACTAGAAAAGAGATTACCCTCTCTTACATGAAACCCACATATTTGGATTTCCCGGCAAATAAGCTCACATTTTGAGATACTTTCTCCTCTTTACTGCCACCTGCTGGAATCCTGCATGAAAAACATTTCATGACAAAATCTGCATTTTAAAAATGAAATCCTAACATGTCTAGATAGAGCCAGATTCTTAAAGCACTCCCCTGAAATGACAAATCTTGCTAAAAAGTTACAATGCACTTTGCAGAACGTTTATGCATCTGTATCTCTGAAACTGTGGCTTCTCTCTTTCTGAAAGTGTCTCAGACAAATCAGGGGAAAGTATTCATTTCAAATCAAACACACAATCAGCTTTCCCCCCTACTATCTGCAAAAGGGGTTTATGTGTATTCATAGAACTCTCTCAGTCACAGACACCTATGGAAGTACTCGGTTCCAGATGCAGCCATGCTGTCTAAATTTACAGTGCAATCCAAAGCAGATCTACTCACTTCTCATGGAAGTCATGGGCTTAGAAGGATACAGCTATGCTCAGGACTGCACTGTTAGGGGGAGTTTCCGGTGGCTGCGAGATTGCGCAGTCGGACCGAGAGAGCCTCCGCGTCTTTGCTCCAAAAAACGCAAAATAAAGACTAATTGAGGACTATAACGACAAAAACAACCTGCTGATAAGAATGGGGAAGCAAAGAGGAGGGAAAGGAGGGAAAGCAGCCAAGAAAAACAACGAGGGAGCTCAACAAAATGAGCAAACTATGCAACCATCGGATGAGGACCCCCCCCCCCCCATTAGAAGTCGACTTGGAAGAAGAAGCACCTAGCCGGCAGAGTAAAAGAAAACGTGAGGACTCAATTACTAAGAAAGACATACAGACCATGCTGGTGGAAATGAAAAAAGAAATTAGAGATAGCATCACCCCTGTTCATCAGAAACTGGATGCTATGAATCTCAGCCTAACAGATCTGCGGGAAAGGACTGACCAGGCACTCACGCAAGCTGCTAAAAATAAGCAGGATATACAAAGCCTGAAGACTTTTGAGACTTGGAGTAAGTCCAAGATTATTCTTTTGGATATTAAGGCTCGGGAAAGTAAAATTAAATTCAGGGGAATCTCCCCAAACTTTTGCATAGACAAAGACCTCACGGACTCTTTAAATCTCTGGCTCCAGGAATTATTGCAGCTGCCGGCCGCACCAATTAGCCAAGCTTATCGGCTGAAACCACCACAAACAGGCTCGCCTACTCTAATCCCAGATATTCTTGCTGAGCTGACAGATATCAAAGTAAAGGCTATCGTCTTAGAAGCTGCAAGGAAAAATAATGGGCTCCAACTAGAGGATACTAAAATACAAGTGTTCAAAGACTTGCCATCTGAGATATTAACAGCACGCCGGAACTTGAAACCAATTACAAAGCGGTTGACAGAAAAACAAATTAGATACCGCTGGCTTCCACTCGGACACTTACAAATAAATTACAAAGGCAGAGCCCACACCGTTTATGATGTCAAGTCCGGAGAGGAAATGCTAACTGCTTTACAACTTTAAGCTTTGGACAAAAAATGAGAGGACAACAGGTTTAACTCTAGATAAGCCGATTTAATATTAATATATTGTTTTAAACATGTGACACTAAGGTACAATAGGAGCATAGCGGGTAAGGCACTCGGGAGGAACTCCCTTATCACCTTCTATAGGGTGGGGCCTTAGGAAAAGACCCCCTTTGGGATTTCCAAAGTCCCATAGAGAGGTGGCAACATCCAAGAACTCCGCCATGAAGATTTAAATTATTTGGTTGTTGGTTTATCTTTCTATTTAAGAGCAATTAAAAGGCTTAATATAATATGGATAAGATATAAGAGAAACTGTCTGGGACAATAATAAATATCATTTTATTAAGTTTGTATTACTTGAGTTGGAGTTTAAGGAAATAAAAAATAGTTTTCTAAGCAATCACTGGCAATGACAGGGGGGAAAATCTTTTTGTTTTAATAACCATTATAATGTAAACAGCCATTGCCAGGGATACGGTGTAAAAGAGGATGTAATGGACTGTATAGTATCTTTAAAAAATATATGATTTGTGTTGTTATCATGTGATATGCAAAATAAAAATATATTAAAAAAAAAGGACTGCACTGTTAGACTATGCCCTTCCAAGGTCATATTCAACACACACATTGTCACATTTTTGAAAACCTATATTGTACTAATACATAAAGAGTAAGAGATATTAACTACAGAGGGTCAGATTGTACATTACAACTCCCAGTAACTTCCCTAGTCATGATGTGGGGACAGGATGCCAATCATTTTAAACGGTTTGATAGTAATGTATACTTTACAAAGGAAGTATAATAGTATTTTTAAAGCAACATGTATTGTATATTTATTTATTTATTGTATTTACCTCACCTTTCCTCCAAGGAACTCAGGGTGCTTATATGGTCTCATCTTCTGCCCTGTCCACTGTTTATCCTCAACAGCCCTGTTAGGTCGATTAGGCTAAGTGTATAATTAGCCCGAATTAGCCCAGTGAGTTGCACCATCGAATGGATCTCCCTATTCTTAACTACTACTTTTTTTTGGAATCTCAGTTCAACTTTACAGAATTATAATCAAACCTAGCCACAGAACTCAAACAGTTATACAATCTATTGCTTCAAATACAAAGGTGCACTTTGACCTAGCTGCTTTAGAAAGCAACCCTGAACAGGTCTATTCACTGGGGCTTACTTCCAGGAAAGTGTTTTTAGGATTATCCTATTATGCAATCTTGTTGTAGTAACTCATGCATCACTGCAAAGGAACTGCAACTTAAAAACTTCAGCGTTTTAAGTGCAGATGGTATGGTCTGGCACTTGGAGAGGCGAGATGGCACCCTCAAGTATTATTTCACAGGCTTGTTGTAACATTTAATGAAATACAAACTATACAGAACCCCATGCACGGAAAATAAAATATATTTTTAAAGAACTAGTTACCCAATTTTACAATGTATTCTACTTACGCATAGATGTCTTCCAAGTTATTTGCTATTTCTGCATACTCCTGACCTAGAAGCCAAGGAGCACTAGAATAAAAATGAACATGTTGATTCATTACAACATTTCTAAACTACTTTCCCATTTAAATAGACCCCCCCAAAAAGGAAAATTAGAGCTTAGATCCTCTAGCAAACTACAAACATGCAGAAGCGTCTCATGTAGTGACAGTATTCATCTAAGCAAAACAGTAAAAGCGAAGGGTTTGGGGAAAGCGGTGATGTCAGTGCAAGGAGGGAAGATCATGGGCAGAGTGTGAGTTGTAACTTTAGCCTCCCTTCAGCAAATGTGGTGTCACCTTATGTGAACTGCGTGTTTCTCTTTTTTTCTCATTTCGTTCTGGCTTACGATTTTTGAATTCTTTTTCACAAAAAGATGGCTGCGTTGAAAAAGAGTCCAAATTATGCACCCCTTTATGTTTTTGTGCTGTAATCTGCCAGATACCTACCAGACGATTCCTCACAGAAACCAACCTGAGGTGGCTTATTCCTAGTGAGATCAGGGGCTAAACAATCAGGAAGCTTCTCATCTAGCCCTGAAGCTAAGCAATATGGTGCTATTGTGCTACAGGAGGTGTCTGGGTAGAATATTCCAGTTGCTTGCTGGCCCCACAGTTCCTCACTGGGGACTCTAAACTTGTAAAACAACTGGTAGAAAATGGAGCACACTGTTCTCCACAGTCCACTGAAGGAAATTATACCAGGCCTACCAAAGCTGTTTTGTTGCTGTTGTCACATTACCTACAGACACTGGGTGGAAGAGACTAAAGGCTCTTGCTTTCTGAATTAACTTTCATCGAGGACAGTTAACTTTCATCGAGGACATTGAGGACTTTCGTCTAACAACTTCTTTCACATACACGCACTGCATATAGGATGGACTGCTTTATGTCAGCCCATAAGACTGGGAAGGGTTGTAAAAGTTTGGACAACTGGAGGCAGGATCAGGATTGCCCTCCCTTACTCAAATGGAAGATCACTAGTGTACACAAGCATATGGAAATAATGGTATTGTCAGATAAAGAAAATGCACAAGAAACTGGATATTCTGAAAGAGAGCTATCACTTACTTAAGTTGATAAATAGGTGGTGCTGTGGTTGGATATTCAGGGGGCAGGATCACCTGAAAGATTTTAAAAGTAAATAACCAATAGAGCTCCCCCCCAAAAAAAACAACAACACCTGGCTGTTGGTAAAAAAACAACCCTGAGCATTCAGAACAGCTTTGAGAAATTAACAGGCTCTTCAATAACAAGACACATTAAACACACACACACACAACCCTCAGGGTGAAAGTCTATAACTACTACTTGGAAGTAAGTCCCACTGAATACAGAGGGACTTGCTTCTGAGTAACATGCAAAAAACCAGCATGTTAAGCGACTACCTAATGATACTCCTGCCTCTTACCTCCACTGATCTCCATTGGTTCTGGGGGACAAAGAACCCTGAGGAATAACACAAGGTTGTGCTGATGGGCAGTCAGTAGAAATTTCCAGTTTAGCCTGAATCCAACTCTAAGGTAGGGGTGGGAAGAATGTAGACTAAGGTTCACTGATGGATTGCAGACCGATTTCTGGTGGATTTCCTAAACACTTGCTGATTACCATGATTTTTGCAAGGAATGCTGGACTTTGGTCTAATCTAGCCAGCACAGCACTTCTTATGTTGTTAAGCAAGAACACACATGCAGGATCAAGATATAATAAGTGTATGTGAAAAGATCCTGAAGATACACTCCTGTTTTGTAATTTCAGAATATTGCAGTGGATCACACAGATTTTTTTTAATTAAGGAGCTATATAAGACTGAAGTAAACTTACATTTGCTGTAAAGAGTTCAGTCTTATGCAAGAACAAAAAACTATAAAACTGCCCCAGAAGCATGCACACAGGACACAACACACAATGACCCTCAGCTGGTCAGCAGCTGTCAGTTGTATCATAGCTTCTATCTACCAAACAAAATAATTGTTTACACAAAGATATTTTAAGGTAGTGCTATAAAAGCAAGTTAAGGAAACAAAATGCCTAAATTCAGTTATTAGAATCTATTACCAAATTAGGTCTGCTTCCAGACTGAGGTTTTGCTCTGCTCGGGACTCATACTGGAGTATGAATATTCATACAACATTGTCCCCTAACATCCCACTTCACACTTTGATGTGATCTTTCCCAAATCCGGTTTGCTCTTTCAAAAAAGATCACAATCAAAGTGCCTTTGTACACCTATGGACAGGTAGGGGTGCACTTTAAAGTTGCACCCACACTGATGGCATTTCCTTGCCTCCATCCCCTGCAGCCACCATTTCCCGCATACAACCTTTAAAAAAAAAAACAAATTGCCAATTGCTACAGTACAATTACCTTATAATGATACATTGCCATGGCCTACTAATGCCTCTGAATTCACAGCTTTTTAAAAAGTAACTCTCTAGCCCTTTTCTTTGCAGTGATATAAAGAAATGTTGTATTCCTTACACCTCTGCTGTAAAAAGGATTAGAGATCCTTTTTAAATGAATTCAGGAATTCAGAAGAGGTACTAAAGTACTAAAGAGGTACTCATGGATCACTGCCTTGTCGTGGCGAGGGGGCTTGCGCAGTTCAATGAAGCTGTGGGCTATGCCGTGAAGGGCCACCCAAGACGGACAGGCCACAGCAGAGAACTCAGACCAAGCGTGATCCACCTGGAGAAGGAAATGGCAACCCACTCCAGTATTTTTGCCAAGAAAACCCCATGGACAGTATCAAAAGGCTAAAAGATATGACGCCGGAAGATGAGCCCCTCAGGTCGGAAGGTGTCCAATATGCTACTGAGGAAGAGCAGAGGGCAAGTACAAGTAACCCCAGAAAGAGTGAAGCGGCTGGGCCAAAGCCGAAAGGACCCTCAGTTGTGGATGTGTCTGATGGTGAAAGGAAAGTCCAATGCTGCAAAGAACAATACTACATAGGAACCTGGAATGTAAGATCTATGAATCAAGGTAAGCTTGACGTGGTCAAAAATGAGATGGCAAGACTGAACATCGATATCCTAGGAATCAGTGAACTAAAGTGGACAGGAATGGGCGAATTTAACTCAGAAGACCATTATATCTACTACTGTGGCCAGGAATCTCGTAGAAAAAATGGTGTGGCCTTTATAGTCAACAAGAGAGTGCAAAAGGCAGTACTGGGATACAATCTCAAAAATGACAGAATGATTTCTGTCCGATTCCAAGGCAAACCATTCAACATCACAGTAATTCAAGTGTATGCCCCAACCACTGATGCAGAAGAGGCTGAAGTAGACCGGTTCTATGAAGACCTACAACACCTCCTAGAACTAACACCAAAAAATGATGTCCTCATCATCATAGGGGACTGGAATGCTAAAGTAGGAAGTGAAAAGGTAACTGGAATAACAGACAAGTTTGGCCTTGGAAAGCAAAATGAAGCAGGGCAAAGGTTAACAGAGTTTTGTCAAGAGAACACACTGGTCATAGCGAACACCCTTTTCCAACAACCTAAGAGGCGACTCTACACATGGACATCACCAGATGGGCAACACCGAAATCAGATTGACTATATAATTTGCAGTCAAAGATGGAGAAGCTCTATCCAGTCAGTAAAAACAAGACCTGGAGCTGACTGTGGTTCAGATCATGAGCTACTCATTGCAAAATTCAGACTTAAACTGAAGAAAATCGGGAAAACCATGAGGCCATTCAGGTTTGACCTAGATCACATCCCTGATGAATATACAGTAGAGGTGAAGAATAGATTCAAGGGTCTGGATTTGATAGATAGAGTGCCTGAAGAACTATGGACGGAGGTTCGTGACATTGTACAGGAGGCAGCAATCACCACCATACCAAAGAAAAAGAAATGCAAGAAAGCAAAATGGCTTTCTGATGAGGCTTTACAAATAGCAGAGGAAAGAAGGAAAGCGAAAGGCAAAGGCGAAAAGGAAAGATTTACCCAACTGAACGCAGATTTCCAGAGAACAGCAAGGAGAGATAAGGAGGCCTTCCTGAATGAACAGTGCAAAGTAATAGAAGAAAACAATAGAATGGGAAGGACTAGAGATCTCTTCAAGAAAGTTGGAGAAATCAAGGGAGCGTTCCATGCAAAGCTGGCCATGATAAAGGACAAAAACGGTAGGGACCTAACAGAAGCAGAAGAGATTAGGAAAAGATGGCAAGAATACACAGAAGAACTATACAAGAAAGACCTCGATGTCCTTGACAACCACGACGGTATAATCACTGACCTCGAGCCAGACATCCTGGAATGTGAAGTTAAATGGGCCTTAGAAAGCATTGCTAACAACAAAGCTAGTGGAGGTGATGGTATTCCAGCTGAGCTATTCAAAGTCTTAGAAGATGATGCTGTTAAAGTGCTGCACTCCATTTGCCAGCAAATTTGGAAAACGCAACAGTGGCCACAGGATTGGAAAAGATCAGTATACATTCCAATCCCAAAGAAGGGCAACGCCAAGGAATGTTCAAACTATCGCACAATTGCACTCATATCACACGCTAGCAAGGTCATGCTCAAGATCCTACAAGCTAGGCTTCAACAGTACGTGGATAGAGAACTACCAGAAGTACAAGCTGGGTTTCGAAGAGGTAGAGGAACGAGAGATCATATTGCCAACATTCGCTGGATTATGGAGAAAGCAAGAGAGTACCAGAAAAATATCTACTTCTGCTTCATTGACTATGCTAAAGCCTTTGACTGTGTGGATCACAACAAACTATGGCAGGTCCTTAAAGAGATGGGAGTACCAGACCACCTCACATGTCTCTTGAGAAACCTGTATAAGGGCCAAGAAGCGACAGTTAGAACCGGATACGGAACAACTGATTGGTTCAGCATAGGAAAAGGAGTACGACAAGGATGTATACTGTCACCTTGCTTATTTAATATATATGCAGAGTACATCATGCGAAATGCTGGCCTGGATGAATCACAAGCGGGAATTAAGATTGCTGGGGAAAAGATCAACAACCTCAGATATGCAGATGATACCACTCTAATGGCTGAAAGTGAAAAGGATCTAAAGAGCCTCTTGCTCAGAGTAAAAGAGGAGAGCGCAAAAGTGGGCTTGAAGCTCAACATCAAAAAAACTAAGATCATGGCATCCGGCCCCATCACTCCTTGGCAAATAGAAGGGGAAGTCGTGGAAGTAGTGACAGACTTCACGTTCCTGGGATCCCAGATCACCGCAGACTGTGACTGCAGCCATGAAATTAAAAGACGCCTGCTCCTTGGGAGGAAAGCGATGGCGAACCTAAACAGCATGATAAAAAGTAGAGACATCACCCTGCCAACAAAAGTCCGCATGGTCAAAGCAATGGTATTCCCAGTAGTCATGTATGGCTGCGAGAGCTGGACTATAAGGAAGGCCGAGCGCCGAAGAATAGATTCTTTTGAACTATGGTGCTGGAGAAGACTCTTGAGAGTCCCTTGGACTGCAAGAAGAACAAATCAGTCAATCCTCAAAGAAATCAACCCTGACTGTTCCCTGGAAGGCCAGATAATGAAACTGAAGCTCAAATACTTTGGCCACCAAATGAGAAGGGAGCACTCACTGGAGAAGACCCTGATGCTGGGAAAGATTGTGGCAATCTATATATCTAATACCCAAGTTGCCCCCGGAGTGCGGATCGCTAAATCCGCGCTCCGGTACGACCTAGGGGGCAGGGAGAGTTTTGTGCACTCTTGGGGCAGTCCCCAGGGGTGCACAAAAATCTAAAAACTAAAAAAAAATATCGGGGGGATATTTAAATCCCCCCGAAAGTGTCAGAGTGTCCGTGCGCATGCACA